ATGAATCATGTGTACACTCAGGTGGATACATTTATGATGGATTCAGTATAAAACAATCTTTGTGGGACCGTTATGTGTAGAATTTCACTATGGGACATTTAGATTTGATGTTGTTTTTGTATAAACCAAGTACAATTTTTTTTATTTCAATCGAAATTTTATGTAAAACTATATAATCTATGAACAAAAGTTAAAAATTACCAAAAGTAACATGGGACAGATATGCGAAAAACGACAGTTTAGTATGTTATGAAAAAAAAATGTTATTGCCTGGCTAACCTCGAAAAGAAAGCCTTTTTAAGTGAACTTTTACTCATTGTTAAATCAATTGATTCGGAATTTGCATTATAGCACGACATCATTTTATTTAATGGTACATTTTTGGCATACTTTGTTCTTTGGTTGTTAACATAAAATAATTGTTTTTCCTTAGTGAGCGAGTGGAACCATACAAATTAATATGAGCTCATCTAAATTTATAAACATACATCGCGACTCATAAGATGGAAGCGGAAAACTCGTCCCACCTAACTTTCTTAGAGCAAACAACAAGAACTACCTTTGACTTGAATTAAGCGGCGCCGCTGGTGTAGTGGTAATCGTGATTACCTCTCACCCCAGCATTCCTGGGTTCAATCACAGTCGGTGCCACCGGAATGTTCTGAGGCATCACATTCTGATCACGACTTCCTTCGAAAGGGAAGTAAAGCTCTTCCTCCTAGAAAATTGGCTCACACTGAACTAGTCTATCGGTCCTAAGTACATCGATAAACGTATCCCATTCTAGTCAAAATTCTAGTACTATGCTATAATTGTTTTGATTCGCTATGACAGATAAAATGAGGAGTTCGTGGATTTTCCTTTATTTTGAGGCGTGCATCGATTAGCTTGGGACCGAAGAGAGTACCAGCAACCGATGGAAACTAACGATTTTAAATTGGCTCACTACATGACTAGCCTATTAGCCCCCAGTACATCTATAAGCTTACCCCATTCTATTCAAATTCTAGTACTACACTATGTTTTTTTTTTCGCTACACGCTAACTTGAAAGTACTCATTAATGAGTAAAAAAAGACCCATTTTGAAGAAAAGTGGCTTAACTCATTAATTATTAAACAATTTTACCCATTAATGAGTATCTGTTACCCATTAATGATTAACAATTACTCATTAATGGGTAACAGATACTCATTAATGGGTAAAAATTTTACTCATTTAATGAGTTAAGCCACTTTTCTTCAAAATGGGTCTTTTTCAACCATTAATGGGTACTTTCAAGTTAGCGTGTATCGAAGCTTGACAGATAAAATGAGGGGTTCGTGGATTATCCTATGTTTCGAGGGGTGCATCGATTAGCTAGGGACCGAAGATAGTAATAGAGCTGAGCCAAACAGTTGAGCACGTTTCTTCGGGACCTTCTGGTCTTAGAGTTACCTCTATGGTACCAGGGCTGAGTCAAAAAGTTGAGCACGTTTCTTCGGGATCTACTGGTCTTATTGAGTTACCTCTATGGTATTATTAAGTGTATTTGACCATAGAGGTAACTCTAAGACCAGAAGGTCCCAAAGAAACGTGCTCAACTTTTTGACTCAGCTCTGGTACTCTCTTCGGTCCCAAGCTAATCGATGCACCCCGCGAAACATAGGAAAATCCACGAACCCCTCATTTTATCTGTCAAACTTTCATTGCAAATCAAAACAAACATAGTGTAGTACTAGAATTTCGACTAGAATGGGGTACGTTAATCGATTTGCTTGGGACCAATAGGCTAGTCAAGTAGTGACCCAATTTAAAATCGTTAGTTTTCCAACCGGTGATTGGACGATAAAAACAGCTGAACATGTTTTTGGTGCCGAGTTATTAACGTAACAGAGAGTCGAAGAAGATAATCGATCAATGTATATTGGTCTATTTGACAGGTGACGCAAGATTTATCATCGATTGAGCTTGTTATTTTCGTTCATAGGAGACATCCAATAATAACGTTGCGATTTAAGGGGAGAGGGGATGCGTGAAATTTACGTTCGTTTTGTTACATGAGAGGGAGGGGGTCGTAGAAATATCTTACAAAATCATGGACGGATCAAATGCAGAACATATAAATATTCAATGTATGATATTACAAAGGGAGGGGTTCCCAACAAACCATAGCCTATTGAAGAAACGAATTCTTGACGATTTTATTCAACTGCATGCTTAATAATACGTGTACACTGAAGTCTTTTTTTACACGGTTTTTTTTTACGCGTTTTTTTTTTTACACGGTTATTTTTACACGGTTTTCCACGATTTACACGGTACGTTTTTAACGATTTCTCGACAACGATACAACCTATCGACTTGATTCCAATCACATTATCCGTTTCAAGCTATAGGTAATCGAATTGCATACTAAGAAAAAAATCACAATTTTTGGTGTAAATACAGAAATTTTGAAAACATGTAGGTTTTTTTTTACACGGTTTTTTTACACGGTACGTATCCCCCGTGTAAAAAAAGACCTGAGTGTACTATTTTTAATAAAAACTTCTGTTCAGGCTGTGTTCACACAAATAAGGAGAACTCATTCAACCACAACAATAAAGTACTTGGTGTTCGATCATTTTTTTGGTTATTCAGCTTATATTGGATATCTCAGCTATACTCGCGGAGAAGGTGATTTTCAAATGAAACAACGACGAACAGCATGTCCGTCTGCGAGTACGTTAGAGTTTAAAAGATGTCTGTCTTTATTATGGAGAACGGCTTATATACTAAGTTACAATAGTATGTTTTTCTGGCAGCTCTAGGACAGGTAGTCTAAATAAAGTAGTGACATTGGATGCGGCTGCGCATCCATGCTGCGTGTTCTGTTTATTATGGGTAAGTCCAAGGAAAGGTTAGAAGAAAAGTTTTGCTGATTTGCATAAAACGGTTGTTTTGGAAGCGAAGCGGGAAAACCTGTTATGTAGTTTATAACTTGGAAAATACATGTTATTGTTTGGGTAGTAGACGTTTGTGAATTTTGATGATTTGAATAACTTGGAAAGCTGTATACTACACATCATTGCTTCCTTAAACAGCGCTTGATTCTAATGTTAAGTAACGTCTAAATAGACACTATTATACATTTATAGAAAGAGATACAAATTTGAGTTTTTGTTAAAAGTTGTAGCTAATATCAAAACCTACAAAAGCTTCAAACATATTTTCACGAAATTCTATTGATGCAAAAAGTTAGCGGTAAATGAATGTAAATGATTGGCCATGCCTGAATGGACAGAAAAACAGCCCAAGCAACATTGCAAGTTTTATCGAGGTTTAAAAGAATTCTTCAAGTCTAAGCTACGGTCTGCAAAACCCCCATAAAACCATAAATGTTACTTGGTAGGGTTGGTTTTAGTTTAGTGATTGTTTTCATTATTTCTGACGATGCCCGGCACAACACAGATAATAGAATATTTATTACATATATAAAGGGTGTCCACGATGAAATTGCCACACACAAAATTGATTCGCAAAATTCGAGTTTTCATCCGATTGCCATCAAATTTTCAGGGATTGAGAAATAACTATTAAACTTCATTTTACCATTTTACTCGTATTTTATTTACAGTCCATACGCAAATGCCCGCACCTTGGCCTTAACCCCGGCCATAAGATTCTGCACAGCCTGTGAATCAACCGTTTTTTGCATGTAAACCCATACTTTCTTCAGTGCCTCGACTGTCTTCACTACCTTAGGTCGTTTAAGAAGGTGCTGCTTCATAATCGCCCAGTACTTCTCGATGGGGCGGAGCTCCGGAGTGTTGGGAGGGTTGAACATTTTCGGCACGAAATTGACCTTATTGTCCGCATACCACTTCAGCACGTCCTTGGAGTAGTGGCATGAGGCCAAATCCGGCCAGAAGATTGTTGGGACGTTGTGGGCCTTCAGGAGAGGAAGCAGCCGCTTCTGGAGGCACTCTTTTATGTACACCTGTCCGTTCATCGTGTCCTGGGTCACGAAAGGTGCACTCCGCTTCCCGCACGTGCAGATGGCTTGCCAAACCAGGAATTTCTTCGCAAATTTGGACATCTTCTGAGTGCGGACATGCTCCGGAACGCTGAACTTATTCTTGGCCGTGAAAAACAGGTTGCCGGGGATCTGTTTGAAGTCAGCCTTCACATATGTTTCGTCGTCCATGATGCAGCATTCAACTTTCGTCAGCATGTTGAGGTACAACTTCCTGGCACGGGTTTTGGCGGACTTGTTCTGCTTCTCGTCGCGATTAGGGGCCTTTTGTACCTTGAACGTTCGAAGCCCAGCCTTAGTTTTGGCCTTCTGGACAAAACTTCGGCTTAGGCGCAGCTTCTTAGCCACATCCCTAACGGAGGCGTTCGGATTTCGGTTGAAGGCCCCAACTACGCGGTTGTGATTTTTGGTGTTGTACGGAATACTTTTTCCTTCACTTCTGGGCTTCCGATCGGTGGTCAACCGTTCCTCGAACCGCTTAATCACTCGCGACACCGTGGAATTCGCGATTCCCAACGTTTTAGCGATGGAACGATGCGAGAGATCCTTGTTCTCGTGATGAATGCGCAAGATTTTATCACGCACGAGCTGTTCTTTCGACTCCATTTCCGCGAGTTTTGATCACAGGACTTTAAAACTTGCAGGATGTAAATAATGCACTATGAACTAAATCCACCCAAATTTTCATTAAATTCTACCCAACGGTTAAAAAGTTAGAGCAATTTCATAGTGTGGCAATTTCATCGTGGACACCCTTTACATGTCACATGTCGTTGCATGGGATTCGAACTGCTATGTTTAGTGGTAACTAACATAGAACTTACGATTTCTTTTAGTGTACGGACTAAGAAGTATATCAGTTAACTTCCAATTCAAGACTAATCTTCGAAAGTGCATATGGCAAGAAATACAAATTTAGTTCATTCGAAAGCTATTCAAATTGACGGTTAATTATATAAAGAAATGCTATTACACATCATAGGCTCCTCCAAGATTGCAACAAGTCATTTGCAATCTTTAAAACGTTCTTTTCTTTCCTTAACCCGGTTGGATCTTCTTGGTAAAATCGCCGAAGTGTTGGGATCGCCCAATGCTTGTTGTTTGGTATCCTGCTGACTTGACAGTTTGTACAGCTGATTGATGTGACGTTTCCATATCTGCTGCTCTTCAGTTAATACCAAGTAAACAACTCGACCAATCCTCTTCTGCACAGTACCTCGTACGAATCGCTTCTTATTTGGTATCCGCGTATCCAGTACCAAAACTGCTTCACCTACGTTTATCTTCCGTACGGTTTTAAGCTGGTGGTGGTCTTTAACAGGATCGGACGGAGGTGGCATAGATATGGTAGCCTTCTTTACCAAGTCTAGTCTCAGGTTTACCTTTCTTCCGAACATTCGTTGTGAAGGTGTCTCCTGTGTGGTGCAGTGAGGAGTGTTTCGGTACACCATCAAGAAATTCACAATTGCGTCCTCAACCATCATGTCACCTTCCGTTGCCAAAATTTTCTCTAGGGCCAGCTTTACCGTTTTCACAGCATTTTCAGCCGCTCCGTTTGACTGAGGGTGACCTACGGGTGAAGTCATGTGCTGTATCCCATTCACCTGCAGGAAATTCTTGAACTCCGATGCCGTGAATTGTGGTCCGTTATCACTGACAACGAGAACAGGTAGCCCAAAGCGAGCAAATGTTGATCGTAAACATTTAATAGTAGCTTCGGTAGTTATTCGAGTCATCACGAATACTTCTATCCATTTTGTGAACGAGTCTACGAGTATCAGCAGGTATCGACCTCGAATTGGACCTGCGAAATCCAGATGTATCCTCTCAAATACACGTTTCGTTTCAGGCCACGGTGACGATGTCCTCGGCGGTGAACTCCTAAATTTACTGCATGACATGCAGTTTTCGAGAAGCTGATGGATATCTGCGTTTAAAGTAGGCCACCACACGAATTGACGGGCAAAACTCTTTGTCTTAACTTCACCTTGATGTGACTGGTGTAGCTCATTCAAGATTCTATTCCGAAGAAGTGAAGGTACTACCAAACGGTCACCATGCAATATCAATCCATCACTGCAACTCAGCTTCTCCCGAACTGCGAAGTACCTTTGAAGCTCTCCTCCAGACGATAATTTTCTGGGCCACACGTTGAAAATATATTGCCGAACCTTTCGTAATACCTCGTCCTTTTCAGTTGCTTCCTTCAACTCATCAGCAGAGACAACGTTGAGACCTGCTCCCGCAACATAATGCACACTTGCTGCTTCTTCTTCGTGTTCGATCTCCAACTCTTGTTCTAGATCCGGATTCCTCGAAAGATGATCCGCCAAGTGATTATTGTCTCCTTTGATGTACTCCAACGTATAATCAAAAGCTGCCATGGAAAGTGCCCATCGTTGCATACGCCGACTAGAAAATACTGGTATTTCCTTATTTTCACCCAGTATTCCTAACAGGGGCCGATGATCTGTCCTTATAGTGACTTTTGTACCATAAACGTATGGGTAAAATTTCTTCAGTGCATATACTACACCCAATGCTTCCTTATCTATCACGCTGTAGCCTTTTTCAGCATCGGTTAGCGCACGGGAAACGAAGTAACAAGGTCGTTCATACCCATCCGGTTGCCTCTGCAGTAACACAGCTCCCACTCCGACATCCGAAGCGTCAGTTTCGATTATAGAAGGTAACTGTTGATCGAAGTGCGCTAGAGCTATATCTCCTTTTATTACATCGACTATCTTTTTCCAAGCTGCTCGACAGTCTTCGGTCCACAGAAATTTTCCTCGGCTTCCCTTCGTGCGAGTGAGTGCATATATTGGAGCCATTATCGAGGCCATATGTGGGATGAATCGCGAATAGAAAGCCACGATTCCCATAAGACGCCTCACCTCATGAACGTTTTTTGGCTCGTCGAGATTGATGATTTTCTGTTCCATCTGAAACGATTTGTGGTCAATGGTGAATCCCAAGTATGAGATTTTGTCCCTTAGAAATTCACATTTTTCCTTTTTTACCTTCAATCCCGCATCTGAGAGTATTCGAAGCACCTTTTCTACGTTCTCCAAATGGTTGGCAATTTTTTCTTCATCTGTGACCCCTTGTTTTCCAGTTACCATTATGTCGTCGATAAAGACAACGACACCCTCAACGCCTTGCAGCAGCTGTTCTATGATCCCTTGAAATATGGAAGTTCCAGGAGTTATCCCAAAAGGCATTTTGTTTACCTGGTAGATACCCCGGTGGGTGCTCCAAGTACATAGCTGCTTAGACTCATCAGTTAGTTCTAGTTGATTATACGCATCTCGTAGATCAATTTTCGAAAATTTATACCCACCTTGCAATTGGGATAGCAACTCATCTATCCTTGGAATTGGATGCTTGCAGTCTTCGAGGAATCGATTGAGAGTGACCTTATAATCACCGCAAATACGCACTGTTCCATCAGCCTTGAGTATGGGCACCAACGGAGTTCCCCAATCACTTGTAGTGATCCGAGTAATGGTTCCCTTTCTTTCTAGGGCTTCTAGCTGGGCATCGACCTTTTCCTTTAAGCTATGGGCAATCTGTCGTGGACGACGAAAAATTGGACATGCATTCGACTTCAAACGTAACTCCACTTTTCCATATCGATAAGTTCCTGGTTCATCGTCGAAAAGTTCTGGATATTTTTGCAAGATATTCTCTAGCGCACTATCTGGATTCATATTTAGCATCAAATTTGCCTTCCGAACATAGTCTCGTCCCAAAAGAGGGGGTCCTCCACCTGTCATTACGTACAGCTCTATCTCCATCATATCGCCTTCCACTTGTACCTGAACTTGTAGCTTGCCATCTGGTCTGATTTTCTCTCCCGTGTAACCGAATAAAGTAAGATCAGTTTGTTCCAGCTCACGTTGACCAAATATCCTTTTGTACAATTCCATGGACATGCAGCTCACTGGACTCCCTGTATCCAGCTCGAATAGCAGATTGTGACCGTTAAGTTGTACTGCTCGGAAAATTGGGTTTTTGTCTCTACTATCTAGTGACAGCATGTACGGTTTCATATTTAGATGAGCTAAGGTTGGTGTCCCCGCTGAACATTCACCGTTATCCGACGTTACATCTTCTTCATCGTTAGCGCCATCTGTGATGAAATTGTTCCGAAACTTGCGTTCAATTGGTTTCTTACGGCATACAGCTTTTAGATGCCCCTTACCGTGGCAGATGTCACACTTACGATCCTTGTAGAAACAGTCTTCTGAACGATGGTTCTGCATACCGCATACCTTACACACCATTGTTGACCCCTTTCGTCCTTTGGCTGGAGCTCGGAATTCTTTCCGGCCCACATAGTTGAAAGATTTTGCTTCTTGCTGCTGTAACTCCTTTCGCTCTGCTATCGCCAACGCTTCATCAATCTTCAGATCAGCCTTTTCTTCCATCAAACGATCCAATATAGGGCCTCTGCGCAGTCCAGTGACGAATTTATCCCTTACGACGAACAGCAAATTATCTGCAAACTCACATGTAGCTGCCGCACCCCTGATGCGGCAATGGTATTCATTGACTCTTTCTCCTTCCATTTGATGTAATTCGTAGAACTTCACTCGCTCCGCAAATACCGATACTTTTCTTCCATAAAGCTGGTCGAGACCCTTTACAATGTCGTTGTATGGCTTTGTAGTGATGTCGTCAGGGTAGCATACGTTATTTAGCAACCGAAACGTTTCCTGGTCTAGCTTCATTAGAACATATGACGCCATCTTCTTTACATCAGTGACGCCATAGTTTGTGAAGATGCTTTGTAATCGCTTTTTGTACATCTCCCAATCCACAGAACTTGCGGAGAAGACCTCAATTGCTTCCACCGGTATTATGCCCATGGTACCGTTATCGTCTTCCGAGTTCTCGTCCGCACTCTCTTCCGAGCTAGAATCTTTGGTAGAACTATCTTCCTCACCAGAATTCTCCTCTTCTGATGTTTCCTGTTGTTCAACAACTACTACACTCTCATCTAGTGTTTCGTCTTTTTTTCCTCCAAATTTTGGCATTAACAGTCACTTTAGGCTTTCGCCTCGTCGCCAAAAATGCTATGTTTAGTGGTAACTAACATAGAACTTACGATTTCTTTTAGTGTACGGACTAAGAAGTATATCAGTTAACTTCCAATTCAAGACTAATCTTCGAAAGTGCATATGGCAAGAAATACAAATTTAGTTCATTCGAAAGCTATTCAAATTGACGGTTAATTATATAAAGAAATGCTATTACACATCACGAACCATGTACCTTCCGATTACCGGCCGCTTGCCTTGCCATCTGGGTTTTCCCTAGGGGTACGCAATAACCTTTAGCTCCAACGCAGGCAACCGCTGTAATTAAATTAATTCCATTAACTACTGCTTTAATTACATTAATTACAAAATATTAAGGGTGTTCAATAAAAAATGAGAATGATTTCAGTGCCGTCCAGCGCTCTTGTGAGAGCATCGCGACTATGTTGCGTCGTACGGCTGACCAGGGCGCCTTCTCCAATATTCATTGACGTTTTTTTTGTAAAGAATAAACATTATGTTTAAAAAAAAAATGCTGAATTCGTTTAAATTTTTTTTACTAGCTATATGACTGAAAAAATTCTCATTTTTTATTGAACACCCGTTAGAACATTAACTATTTTTTAGCTCTATTAATTACAGTTGAAATTTCTTAATTAAAGTACATTAATTGCATTTTCAATACTTTTAATAATATTAATTACGGATAGATAATTTTAGTTACCGTCAGTATTTCAAAACGCATTAATTACTAAGTACTTTTGATTGCATTTTAACTTCAACACACCGGTTTTTTGTACTGCGTGCCCCTCGGGTTTTCCTAGAATACATCAAATTATCAACTCAATAATCAATAAAAGCTTGCTTGAAACTGAATACCTATCAGCACTTCCGATCGCAACTCTAGCTCCTTCAAGGTCCTATGCGAATGATTAATTCATTCATCGATGTTTAACATGAGACCAATGTTATCTCTTCACCTTTCAAATTTCCAAATGGGTTATTTTTTAAACTAGATCAATAAAATCCAGTGTTCACTCGGCTGTCAACAGAAGCAGGCCACTCTCGATGTGTTTCACGCGATCGTCTGCTTACTCGGCAGCAGCCATTGTGTGGTCCTCTTCATTGTTCTTCATCAGCAGTTCTTTCGCCAAGCAGTTCTTTCGATGCGTCGTCAACTTTGGAAAGCAACCGTTTCGTGGTGAGTGTGTGAGTGTTGACCACGTTTTGCGTCCGTTGCTGCAATGGAAGCGCTTTGCCCCCCGTTGGCGATGCTGCCATACAATGAAATCACTGGAAGCGGCTTCCGTTCTGATGGAGCAGGCTTTTTGGATAGCGGAAGATAAAGTATTTATTGTGCTGTACCTTATGACTATAGTTTTAAGATGTATTTTATAGTGAACAAGAATCCTCGGCTCTGTAAAGTTAATTCGATTGAGCCTTATCAAATAAATTAATAAACAAAAACACAATGAAATCGTTGTCGTGAGTGATGTGATCGATGATTACGATTTAAATTAATTAGGCGTATAACACAAAAAAAATAGTTAATGGTTGTTTCCAAAGCACGACCACATTTTTGACGTAGAACTACGACTACGGTTGTTGAATAATTCCCTAAATTAAGAATCAATTTTTGAAATAAGAAAATCAGTTCCTTTATTATTCATACCATCCATAGGTCATAGGTCCCAAAAATGTTCACCCAACTTTCGGAAACTTACTTATGTTGGTCATGGTAAAACAACTTTAGAAATCAAAGTGCACCTAACATCACAAATCTTTATGTTGCAGAACAATGATAGACAAGTGGCTTTCAACTGAAACTTATTTAAGTTAGCTTAAATGTAGTTTATCTTTACCTGTGCTCAATAAAAATTAATAAAATAGCATGGAATAACAATTTGATTGTTGTATTGAAGCATATTAAACACCCAATAGAATGGATTAAACCCCATTTATACAACATATAGTAGTTTGGGTGATTGACAAAAAAAAATTTGGGGTTTGTGTATTCACCATTTCCCAAGTAACGTCAAATAAAATGAAAGTTGAAGGCAGACGCATAAGTCCAGTTGGAACATAACAATAAAATTCGTAATATGTTGTATTCATCTGACCCACTTTTCCAAAGACAGCAACCTTCTGTGAAGCAGAGCAGTTGAGTTAAAGCAAGCAATCAAAAGTCAAATAGTACATAAGTTCTGACATTTATGAGAATTCTGATCTGAGCTGTCTGTAGTAGATGAGATGAAGGCTAGGAGAAATGCTCACTTGAATATTTCGATTGACCGACTATCATAATCAAGAATATTACGAACCAATGCATAATATTAGTTCACGTAGTGAATAAAGCGAAAATATAGTAAAAATATTGTCCAGTGTATGATGTCTGATTTCTGGACAAACGCACAGCTCTAGAAACAGAAAACGAACATATGCGAGATTAAAGCGAAATTCGTGTAACGGAAAAACACGAAGCAAAACGTAGGACAAAATCCCGAACGATGCATTTGTCTCGGGTAGAATGATCCGTTTATGGGGGCATTAGAGTGCAACGACATGCTTAAAACAGAGTGCGAGCGATAGAGATAGAATAGGAATGCGGATGAATAGTTTGAAGAAGCTTAGGAATGGGCCAGACGAAGATTGCCCTGGCATTCTGTTGGCTATTGTTGCGACGGTTGCACTTAGCTAAGATATCGTGCTCGGTCACTACACTGTCCAGTATACAATAGGTATTATCCATCTAAATAACTTTACTAAAGAAAGCAACCTCCTATCTAGTCGAAACACTGAAAATGAAACTAACTAACTTTTACTTATTCGTTTGGAGAAATTTCTAAAAGCGTAGGTCACTCAGCGTATCAGTAGCCTATGCTTTTCGAAATGTACCCATTCGAATGAGTAAAAGCGACTTACTCTCTGATTAAGATTTGTTTTCATTGAATGTAGATTGCTTATGCAAGCCTTTTGAATCAAATGACATGATGAGTGAATTCTGAACCGAGAGGCCAATAATGCGATAGCTTTTGTACATCCGAATAACTTCACTGAATACAGAAACCTGTCTTCTGATCGACCTTACTGTTATGTCCGAATAATAGAGATAAAGTCAATTCGTTGAGAAACCGTGATGATTTGAATTAAGAGAATGTTTTCTAGTTGATGTTTCAAAGTAGAGTGAAGCCCAGCTTCACCTGTTGTTTATTTATCTCTATCCTTTTGTTGTTACAGAGTTACACTTTTTTTTCTGCTCTACACACTACATTTGTATTACTCAAAATAAACATAATTTATACTCAGTGAATTAGAGAAGTTTTTCGAAACTATCCAATTCGGATACCACACTTTCGAAGCATGAGATTAAAACATGGACACATAGTGGTATAAGAGCTACTATGCTGACTGTATTCACCTTTATTCAGCAATACTGTAAAGCAATGTACACACCAAAAAATTATGAATTTTAATGGTGATGTAAATATCCATTAGACTGATGCAAAATTTGAAATTTTCGCTCCACAGTGTTCAAACGCTTTCAAATTGGGTCCTGATTAGCCTCCGAAAGTTTAAAACCATTCGATAAGAAACTGACTTGGCGCAAACCATTTGAAGTTTATATTGAAATAACTATGGGAAAACCAAACTTTTTGTTCATTGTATTCTAGCCTTTTAACATACTGTACTCACAGACAAACAGACGTAACTCTTTGAAAAAGTTTTTCATGAAAACATAGTATCTCAAAACATAGGACCTCAGTAGCGACATCTTCAGGCTTCTCGCGGAAAACAAGCTTGCTCGCTAACTCGCAAACAATATTGCATAAAAGTTCTATAGAATGTATAGAAACGTCAAAGTGATCCGATGCCAGCGCTGCGGCGAGTAGTTCGCGGAACTGATAATATTCAAATCAACCGTTAAATGCGTGAACGAAGATACACAATGAAGAGTTACTTCTGTTTGTCTGTGCTGTACTGTTAACAAATTCTTTTGCTATTCTTATGGGAATTTTTATCAGTTACAACTTTGCAGAAAACCATTTTTCAGCCAAACGTCAAATTAAATATTTATTAATTGTTTAAGAGATTGATAATCTTATGGCAAAATTAAGCAACTGTATTGTGGGCAACACTGTATTCTGCAGTGTGACATAGTAGCCATGATTTTTGTCCTCTATTCTACGCTCCATAAACACCAATGTTGCCTGCTGAACAGTTGATTGAGCATAATCATAAGACATTAGTGACTTGAATCATTAATAATTTATGTTCCTTAAATGTGATCGAAAATTGATCTTGAACAAAGTTGTAGCTGAGAACAACAAGCTCAGCTATAATTTACTAAAGTAGAGTGAACTGGTGAATTTTGAGATAGATATGAACCGAAATTATGGTTTCTCCATAGTAAGTTCCATATAAACTTCAAATGGTTTGTGCCAAGTCAGTTTCTCACTAAATGAGTTCAATTTTGGGAGGCTAATCAGGGCCCAATTCGAAACCGTTTGAGCACTGTGGAGCGAAAATTTCAAATTTTGCATCAGTCTAATATCCATGCATGCTAAAATTGAAGCATGTAAACTTCCTTTTCACGTAAACTAGCAACTTGCAAGAAATATTGCTTACAAAGATGGATGGTTGCATACAATATTTAGAATATTTCATTAAATTACTCATAAATTTACACGATCTATAATGTGAATTTGTATGATATGTGACGCTCCATTTATGTGCATCATAGTGACAGAAATTTACACTACTTTTTCGAACTGTGATAGTGAAATCTAATAATGGAGCTCGAAAGCATTTAGAAGCATATTATTATTTTTTCCTTGATTTGTTTTCCGTCGATCTTGTTTTCCGTACTGGGTACCAATGCTACCAACGTCAGGGAGGCAGCTCCCACACCTTTACCCTACCTATCGACCCATTAACTCATAGGCCGGGGACCAACGGCTTTACTTCCCTTCCGAAGGAAGGCGTGTACCGAGATTGTATGCCTCAGAAAATCCCTGCGGTACCGACTGGGATTGAACCCAGACCTTTTGGTGTGAGAGGCAATCACGCTTATCACTAAACCACCGGCGCCACCAAAGGATATTTTCAAATCAACTAAAAACAGTCTTCTAGTATGTGGAAATTACACTTATTCAGTTTGTTATAAGATCAAACTTCTGGTGCTGAAACGGGAAAACAGTCAACGTTTATAAAGCTTTTAATAAGTAATCAGTTCAGATCTCAATGAGCATTTATCAGCACATAATTCGACAACCCGTGAACAACTTTACATTTTCCTTCGGTGCTGCTTGTGATCGTTCGATGGATCGAAGAGATTATATGAGCTCTGAATTGAATCAACACGGAACATTAACAATCAAACAACATGACCCTGAGTTCATCACCTGCACCTCAATCTGAGATCAAGTGTACCCTAAATGTTAAACCTTTTCTATGACTTAGACTCAGATAAAGATATCGGCCTTAGGCTTGCAATAAATTTCGAAAACAGCCGACACCACGTGCCCCACTCAAAAATGATAAAGTCAATAAGGAAAGTTTTCAGAGTCGATGCAGTTGGCACATACCGACAATTCGCAAGCCTATATTTATTTTCAATGTACAATGGCAATTATCATTTAATTGATAAGTAGATGCAGATCATTTGCGTAGCTCGAAGAGTATTTGCATAAGGTACGTTATGTCACGCTTTGAGCAAAATGTTCTTGACACAGACTCAGCTATTTTATTTACTTGCTGATCTGCTCTCAGCGGCAAAACCAGACAGTTTTTCAAAACTCTCTGCAATCAAAATACTTAATAATTTTGAATATAATCGGCACTATATATTATTAGCACTCAGGTATTAGCATTAGCATTAGGCATTAGCACTCAGTACCGAAAAGTGTAACTTTTCGACACTGTTTTGAATAACATAATGGCCTTTTTCATAACTAAAATAACGGTGTCAAAAAGTACTACTTTTCAGCATCCAGTGGCGACTACTTTTCGACACTCTTTTGAGTGCAAAAAATGTTTTATGCAACTCGTTGTAAAATCTGATTTTTTCAAAACTCGGCGTACTTACATACTGCGACTCGTGTTGAAAAAATCTTCTTATTGCAACTTGTTACAGAAATAGCTATTATGGGATTCTGGAAGCAAAAGATATTTTGATGAATTTTTTATTTGTAAGTAGCTTGCTTTATGAGCGTCGCAATAAGCGGTTTTATCATTTCTTCTCACCCATCCTCCAATTGTCATTCTTTGCAAACTGCGATCAGGAAATCGCTGGTTGTAACTCTTCACTCTTTGAAAGAAAAAATGGCAGTTTTCATGTGTACAACATATGCCTTACAACCTCTTATTGTAGCCTATGACATCTTATGATTCTATAGTACCATAAAATATTTTTTATACCAAATAAATGGAAGTAACCCTGAGTTTGGGTTTTATTTTCTTGATGTTGTTTTGTCATCCAAACAATCACTGCACCATAACAAAAATCACCGTACCGGATAGTTAGCAAAAGGGCGGCATCGCAACCATATCTCGAATCACTGAGCAACCAGTCCGACAAAAGAGTTCAGATGAATAACACCTAACTACTCTCGCTAAGACTATTACCAGTGGCGTTCGAAAAAATGTCGTTTAAGTTTGAACTGTTGGTGGAAGCGTGCCTTTTGGTGAAAGATGTTATCATAGTGCTGGTGTTAGGAATACCCATTATTTTCCAACGGTTATTCAATGCATTATTTCCAAATGAATTTAAAAATGTAACAGGTCAACTGGTGTTGGTAATTGATCGCAAGCAACGTTGTTCAAGGGGAACAATTTATTGACAACCTGCTTCATTCTTAGATCACTGGAGGTGGCGGTGGATTAGGTAGAGAGATGGCTCTAAACCTCGCAAGTCATGGGTGCAATATTGTTATCGTGGATGTGAATTTGAAAGCTGCTAAAGAAACCTGTGAAGAGCTGCGTGGGAAAAATGTGTCAGCTTATGCGTACCAAGTGGATGTTTCTTCCTACGACGAAGTTCAGGTTTTGATTGACACTGTCTATAGGGAAATCGGGCCTGTAGATATTCTAATCAACAATGCCGGTCTGATCCAGTTTACGTTTCTGAATGACACTACAGTTGAGAACGTCCACCGGTTAATTGATGTGAATGTTAAAGGATATATTTGGGTGAGTATTTTCTCTTTTTACCCTTCTGACAAATACATTATATACATTATGGTGGATTAATATTGACTGTTAAAGTTAAGTCAGTCGTCTATCATCACACCCTGCAATTTCAGCACGCGTTTCGAGACTATGGCTTACTCTCCGATGATTATTTCTGCCAGGAGGCTGTCTACATTCCACGCGGACAGTTTTAGTTCCTCCCCATTTTAGGACCGTGGACATTCGCCTTCACCCCTTCCCCTTTGTATGTGGACAATCCCCTACTAAACCACTTTGTAGTTACTGATCAGTAGCACTTCAGATTTGTGATGGGCTATTTGTTTCGTGCGTCCTCTGGATCAATTTTCAACCTTATGGGACTTAATTTATACAGATCTTTGTCTGAGAGGGGACATAAAAGACATTACACAATCTAAATATTATTTCATTACCGGTATAACCTCGATTGCACGTAATGTTCGGTGGATGGGGGAGCCAGGTTTTTCTTACGCAATTGCGGTACGTTCGTCGGTGGGTAACCTTTGCGTACCCAAGCTTTTTCGCCTGAAAAATTAGATATTGTTCCCATCTAGTCATTGTTTGACCAATTTTAATGAAACTTCTTTCGATCGATCGAAAACTTCTACTTTTAGATTTCCCAAAGGTTGTACGTGCGCTTGCTCCACGCGATTGATTAATCTTCCTCCGGAATAACTTTTTGTTGCTAATAACGTATTGACCTGGACTTTAAATTAAATTTGAGTTATATTTTTTTAAATGAAATCTTTATGATTTTATATCACATATAGTTTAAGAAATAAAGGATGTCCTAAAAAGTATAAGCAGAGTTTATTATTGGAATAAACCAACGTTATGTTAAGGAACTCAAATTTTTATTTCAAATGTGTATATGTTCTCTATAGTACTCTCTTTCAATTGGAATAATCCGCAGTTCCTTTAGTATGCCAAGGAGCGAACTTCAGCGAACTAATTTTGGCCACTTTTGCCCAGCCTTTTTCAAATTCTTCGAAGAAATTCGCTGCCTTAATGTGTTTTCGTAGATATCTTTTGGAAAGGGCTCAGAAAGTGTGGATTGACCGGGACTCCAGACAATTCGGAGGATTCATCTCTTTTGGTACGCTATGCATTGACGTAGCTAGAAATGTATCTGTAAGGGGCCTAGAGGGGGCTGCTGCATTTTTTATTTTGATAAACTACGGTTAAATAAAAACTCGCAAAGATCCTATTCAATCAAATTGTGCCAGGGCAACATTTTTTTTTTGGGTTTTTTTTTCTGTGTCATTGAGGCTTACTGTTATTTTAATGGTTAAACAAATTTGATTATATTTCTTTCATAACAACGAATGGGACCTTGATCTTAAACTTAAGAAAATTTTCAGAGTTTGGTAATTCCATGAAGTTTGTAAGGGCCTGTTCATAAACTACGTAGACAGTTTTTTGGGATTATTGACCCCCCCCCTCCCCATGCGTAGACAATTGTCCATACAAAAAAATTAAAATTTGTATGGGCCGTGGATAATTGTCAACCCCCCCCCCCCTAATCTGTCTACGTAGTTTATGGACAGCCCCTAACTAGTTTTTTTTTTTTAGATTTTGAATATTTCATCATCAGTTGAATCTCAGACATAGGAGCCAACATTAACTTCTAGAAGTTTTAATTTTATAATTTTATAAAATGCTTTCATGGCAAAGTTCACACAGGATATATTTCATACATTTAAGACTTGTCCATGCACAATTCTTAACATTCTGAATGTATAAATTTAAAATATGTTTTCAAGATTTTGCAACTAAAAAATAGATACCTCTGAAACAGATTGTAAGCATAAATTCATCAAATACAAATTTAAATAAAAGTCAACGGAATTAGATAAATTGTCATAATTCTATATCCTGTAGCTTATGCAACGTTTCCTGAACATCTATAAAACTCACATTGTAGTCGAAATACGTTTTTTTATTTGTTTTATTTAAGCATTCCGCTAACAACCCAATTTCATTACTTCATTAGAAAACTGTCTTCAATTTTACAAATTTTACCCAACTTCTACGAAATTCTCTAAATTTATTCCAAATTCCATCTCCCGTGATCCTACGAAGATCTCTGAACATCTATGCACTTCTAGAAAGACACCTATCTTCTACAAAAAAACTTGAACACATGGAAAGTTCCTTGAAATTTAACAAAATTCCCAAAAGAGGTTCATGTAGCGTTTTTGAAGTAAGATCTGTAACAAACTGCAACGAAGCTCCCTAAATTGAAGCGAGGATCCTTAAAGTTCTTAGAAGATTATTGAACTATTTTTAGATTTTACAAAATTCCCTAAGTTTATTTAAAGTTTTTCGCAGCTCCTAAAAATGCTGCGAAATTCACAAAACATCTACAAAGTTCGCTGCACTCCTACGTTACTTGTTGATTTTCCACGAACGAAATTTCTTGATTTTTTACGTAATTTCCACAACTATTCCAAGTCCAGGCTTCAAAAAAGTGCATTGAAATTATATAGAGGTTCACGATCAATAATGAGCTCTCTTTGAAATAAAATAATGTTGCCTTAACTTCTACAAAGCTCCTCAAACTTTAAAAAATGCTCCACTTCTACGCAGTTTTCAGAACTTTTCCAAGACCCTTGTTTCTACACAGATAAAAATTCTGAATTTTAATTGCGATGTAAACATTCAAACACGTAGACTTGTATTTCATTTCACGCAACCGATCAACTTGCAAACAATGTTGTTCACAAAGATGGGCTTTTGTATACAATATATGCTACATTGCATGAAATGTGTCAGAACTTTACATGATATATAATGTTAACGTATATGATATGTGACGCTCCATTTATGTGCATCATATTGAACAGAAATTTACACTACTTTTTCGAACTGTGTACAATTTTTTCTGAAGATCTATGGAGTGCCATCGATTAAATATCGATTTACTTTAATTTCTCAAAACTGTTTCTTCTTGTCCAGACATCTATAGACATAAGAAAAGTAGCCAACTTAAAAGACTTTTAAAAAATCGATATTTGTGGTCCAATTTTATTAATCGCTGTTTAATAGTAACATCGGACTTGACAAGCAAAAAACCACCAAAAATTCTAGGGGAGGGGGCCTAGATAATTCTGGAGGGGCCTGGCCCCCTTGGCAGCCCCAGTAGCTATACCAATGACTATATGACACTTTGTTTGCTTTGTACCAAGCTACCGTGTCTTTCGAGTAGTGCATTGACACCAAATCGGACAAAAATAGTACTGGGTCATCACGTTAACGGATCATAGGCCGCAGACGCCGATTCAAACACTCCCGAATGTATATTTTGGTGTTCATCGTCTCCTTGGTTTTGACAACGTGCCACACTCACATATCGCTTGTCACACCACGGCCTGCTTACCAAATTTTTCGTCAACTTTCTGACCATCACGGACTGTGTAGTATTACAAGCCAATTTTCCACACAGCAGGCTATCATATAGCTTCCGAGCCTTGTTTCTGACTCCATTTCGGCTTCTTCTGCTTCTTGCCTTGGCACGTTGGACGTAACATTTCGGTGTTCTCAGTTGTTTGACCAAATCTCAAACAGCGGCATTGACGAAAGCTTGGTGATCTTCTGGTTCACTTTTCGGTCCACCGGTCCCGGTTTACGGCCAGATTTCGATATGTCCTCGAATTTACTTTTTTACCAAACTTCCGGATGGGGGTTTGGACTGCTCCGATACTTACATCCTTCATTTTTGCCAACTTCCTTACTGATCGGTTTGGATTAGAGCACCATTTGTGCTCGATCTGTTTGCGATTTTGATTAAAAAAATCACTTTGCGCACAGCCATTAGTAAACAACAACACACATCGATGAACAGCTGATAAACTTCATCGAGTTAGAAATGCCGACGAGTTGAAAGTATGCTTATACTTTCTGGAACACCCAATAGTTAACAGCGACAGTGAGCATGCATAAGGGCGTAAACGCGATGATCGATTCTCTTCGTCGATTTTCTCTTTTGTTAATAACTCGCTTGGATTAACATTTCTCGGTGCGTTTGTTGTTGCTTTTGATGGCCAATACAACCTGTTACAGCACTGTATTACACAAATTTAAGAAAATTTCTTCCCTTAGCAGTAGCAATTTGATCGACGAAGAGAATCGATCATCACGTTTACTCCTTTATGCATGCTCACTGTCGACAGAGACTACTTTTGATTGAGGGAAATTTATTATTTTCAGCTTAATGTAATCTAGCCCGGAACTTCCGGATAACGGTTCTGGATGCCAAAATCGAGTTTCTCATAATACTGAGCAGTTAGCACATCAAATTGATATGTACCGGCCAAACCAGTGGAAGCTAATGGTTTAAAATTGGCTCACTACTTGACTAGCCTATTTTTCCCAAGCAAATCGTTTAACGTACCCCATTCTAGGCGAAACTCTAGTACTACACTATGTTTGTTTTGATTCGCTATGAAAGTTTGACAGATAAAATGAGGGGTGATTTGATTTTCCTATGTTTCGAGGGGTGAATCGATTAGCTTGGGACCGAAGATAGTACCAGAGCTGAGCCAAAAAGTTGAGCACGTTATTTCGGGACCTACTAGTCTTATAGTTATCTCTACACACTCAGCAACGTTTTCCTTGTTCGGTAATTTTTTACCGAAAAAAATCGGTAAATGAAGAATGTTACAGATTTTTCGGTAAACAAAAAGAATTTTACCAACGTTCGGTTATGTTTTACCGAAGTGACGGTAATCTGTCTTTTATATTGACGAACTTCGTTAAAAAGAGTACAGTAAGAACTGTAAAACAAAGCAAACGCCGAATTTTGTTAAAAAATACCGAACAAACAGCAAATTACAGAAACGTTTACCGAACTTCTGTAAATAATTCCAGACTGTCAATCGAAAGACGGTCATATTTATTTCAAGTGTTAAAATAAACAGTAACAGTGGAAAGTGATAGGAAAATCCAGTGAAAACAATGTAAGTATGTTCGCAAATACAGAT